AATAGGATGCTTCCATGCCTTATTGTTACTGACAGTATTGAAGATGCTAATGTAGTCTATCAGAACTTGAGTAGACAAAGTACCCAGACATACATCTAAAGTCCCAAAGAAAGTGACAAAGTATAAATATGTACTTTGAGCTTTGCAAGGATTTATGTGCTTTGCTGAAGTGATTTTTTGCTGTACAAATGGAGTTTCTATTCCTTTTGTACTTGTGTTGTATCCAGTAGGATTCCAGACAAATGTATATTGATTATGTTTAAAAATCATGATGATATTATGAAAAGAAAATAATAAGACAGTAATAATCATAATTAGCAACTTCATTTATCCTTTGGATAGCTCAAAAGAAACTCAGTAGATATAAACAGAGCTCAGTTGAGCCTATTATTTGCAATTAGTCTTTCTGACAGAGCTAGAATGTCATACAAACACTTAAAAATTGAAGAGAAGAGTATTATTACATGCCAGTTCTGTGTTGTATAGACAATTGGGTCAATCATACTAATTTTAGTCTCTAAGCAAAATAAAGCAAAAGAATCGCATTGAACTCCTAGCTGTTGATTTAGTATGTAAAAGTGAAAAGCAATCAAACTCATAACTCTGAGCCTGATTTACAACCAAACAAAAATGATGCTTGCTGTACTGGAATGAACCAGACTCTACAGGGTCAATAGTTCAAAGACTTGCAGAGGAAATCTATGTTGAATAAGTATTTGAGAGTAGATGCCAACAGGAACCCTCACTGAATGCACGGTTTTTTAATATATACTATGCATGTGTTAACAATCCATGTACATGCATGTACATCTAGACATACGTGCAAGTGTTTATTTAGGTGTGTATTTCAAGTCCTTTATCTTCTAGCATCTTACACTATACTGACCTACTTTCAGAAGCTTTGAGAGCTTCTGGACTTCTACAATGCCTTCTAATTTCCGTGCAGTTTTTTTGAGCCCATAAATACTATCATCAGAGCAAAAGTTTGCCTGAATTTATGACACATGTTGCTGCTGACTACAGCAAGAGCTAGCCCTGAGTGATTGCTAGCAAGACTAAGCACAGGTTAATTTTCCTCTCTGTACCTACAGGTGATTGGGAGAGATGTTAAAAGGTTTTGTTGTCAAATGTCTTCTTCAATTAAAGGCGCAACGAAAGGTCGAACTAATAAAATAGCTGCAATCCCCATGCTTTTAGAAAGCCCAGCTTCTCCCACCAACAAGCATGAATTCCAAACCAATTTTTCATTAGAAAAATTTGCTGTTCCAGATCCACTGATGAAGTTTCCAGTTTCAGGCCCCTTGCTGCGTTACAGAGCTTATTATTTGTTATTATTCATCTGTCCTCAATTCAGTGATTAGATCTGTCTGCTGCTGCTGCTTTAGGAGGCAGAGATTCTAGCCAATCTTATTGAGAGAATAATATAAAGCACACAAACATAACCATTACATGAAGTGTTTTTCCTGTGGGCTGCCAACCCTAACATAATACAGATCATGATTAATTTTGAATGAAGAAAGGCAGGGCTGTTGCAGATGAAGTCTGATACAGCTGGAACACAAAGTCATGATGTCCTCATCCTCTGCTTCTCAAAGACACGGGTGACTGCAAAACACCAATTCATCCAAACTCCCTCTTAATATTTGTGCTCACAGTCCAATCAGTCAAGAGGGTGGAAGAGGAGTATCAGGTTCTCAGCAAGACTGAGAACAGTCCCAGCAAGTGCTGTTTTTTGGCATGGAAAACCAAGCCATTGATGGTTTCTGTGAAAAAAATAAACATAGGTCAGCCTGCATCTTCATACATCCTGCTTCCAGGTGGATGTGTCTCACAGTGAATTAGAAAACTGATTCCTTATGAAGGTAATCTCAGCACAGCTCTGTAGGGCTTGGACAAGCCTAGGTCCATGCACCTGCCACTTCTGCTGCAAAGACTGCCCTTAGTGGAAATAAAAAGGACTAAGGTGTAAATGGTGACAGAAGTCTGATTTACAGCTGCTTTTAGGAGGAAATTTCTTGGGCCTTGGGAATAGGTCATCTCTGTTACCCTTCCTTTCTCTGTGTTTGTTCAGAACACCCCATGTGAAACAGCATGGATTTTGAGGTGACCAGCTGAAAAACCAGATGGCAATCTGAAGTAGAAACTAGCTGCAGGTACAGTCCAGTAAGTTTGGCGGTGTCCATGGAAAGTGTGGAAATACGACCCTGCTTGAACTGCCTCTATCTATATGTTTTGTGATCAGTGGTAAGCACAAACCTGGGAGCACCAGCCAGTGGACATAATAAACCTGCAGTCTTTTGGTTTGCCTAGAGCCATCTAAACAAGATGAGGACATCCATTTGAAGGCATTAGTATGTTTTGGCACATTGGGCACAGGTGATCACAGTCATGTTATCTGGTGCTGACTCACATGTTGTCATTAATCTAACTTAATATTTACTGGATTATAAAATAAATTAGGAGCTTCAATCTTCATATTCCCACATCTTGAAAAACTGTCCCATTCTGTTTGTCGCATCTGGATAGGGTATTTAGAAAATCTAGGAAATATTCAAGGATGAGCAGCAGGAATGACTAGAGGAGTGGTATGGCTGTCCTGCTGGAAAGCACTAATATTTGAGCTTGGAAATAGTGATCACAGGGCTCCGGAACAACCCCTCATCATCTTCTCAGTTCTACTGAAAGCCTTAGCGCTTGGCTCTGCATCCATTGTTTTAAATGTATAAAGAAACTTCCAGTGAAGTTCAAATGCTCAACCTAAAATGCTCTGCAATGAGAATCTGAACCAGAGAAAACCAAGCAAAAGCTTCTGTAGGTGGGAGGTAGGTATGAAAGTAATGCTCTGCTGTATTCAGCCAAGGGAGAGCTGGGTACCTGCCACTTTGCAAGCCCACAGATTTCTGAGATTATCCTCTGATGAGCAGACGTTTTCTTTAAATAGCATGCTGCAAATTAGCAGTTCTCAGAAATTTTGACAAATTCTCAGATAAAGTTTATTTCTTAGCAGTTATGCTTCTGAATTGGAGAAGCTAAGGGGGAGATACAAAATGGAGGGGCTAATATAGTTTCTTCTCTGGTTAATAACCTTGTGTGGTAATATCAGAGCTGGCAGTGTTTGCGATGTGGAGGCAGCAGGTAAATTCTGAGCTCAGAAGCCTCTGGTTTCTCCATTTCAAGGCAATTTTCAAGACATTTTACATTTTCCTCTCCTGAAGTAAGATAAATGCAACAGATGTCTGTGAAATAAAAATCAGGACAAACACTAGTATTCATTTTTTCCTCTCCTTCTCATGATGAAATCATCTCAATGTTAAAACAACAAGGAATATTCAGTTATGTATTTCACACAGTCTTGCATAAGCTGACAGGTTTGTTTTTGCTACATGTTTTAAAATCTGAAGTTCTTCAGAATGGACCTTTTCCTTCAAACAAGAAATAGCATTTCTCAATGAAAAACATTTTCTTGAAAGTCATTATGCTTTGATATGCTCCACTGCAGAAGAGGCTAAAACTGCTATTTTTTTCATATAGAGTCATTTCATATTCTTGCAAATTAAAGTACAGCAGTCACACAGTGAGAGGCATAACCCCAAAGGTAAACCATTGGATCCCATTTCTGCTACTGAAGCAGTGTGAATAATGTCAGCAGTGTTACTTTGTCAATTTTCTAGAGTAGGATTTCCTAGGACTATCCCTGTCACAAACAGGTTTTGGTCTTGTCCTTGACAACATATCCACTGTGTCTCCTTATGCTTTTTCTGCACCAGCCTTTGCTGTATATTTTTGTCCTGATCTGTAATAAACACAGACTTAATCACAAGACAGATGCTGCCCATTCTTCTAAATGTGTTACTGTATTGGAACTGCTAGGTCATGGCCTGAACCAGTGATTGAGCACCAGGTGAGGAGGTGTGGCTAACCCTGGGAGCTCAGGTGCAAGCAATTTATAAAGCCTCAGATGAGGTTACCTCATTTGAAGGTTAGCAGCTGAGGGAGTAGTATTTACATCTGGTGATTGATGCCCTTCTGGGGCACCTTCTGGATTTCACCAGCATTTAGAAAGTAGAAAGGGTGAGTCACTTTTTTTTTTCTTTTTTCTTTTTTCCCCTCCTGTGTTGCTTTCTGAACTAAATCTTGATGAATAGCTTTACAAGTGTGTTCCTATCCTAGTAGAAGGCACTAGCATTGTTTTCCACTGTTCTGTGGTTACCCAGTAATATTTCTAACTTTACTTTAAAAAGATCACCATGGATTGTTAGTCTGTCTGAGGAAGAGCCATGAGCTAACTGTCTCTTGTACAGTTGCCACAATGGTTCTCATTTACAACCAAATTCAAATCAGGTTATGCTTTGTTCTCTGTTCTGTTTATTTAATTCATTTTTGTTTGTATGTTTTCTCTCTTGTAGGTAAGAGCACCTTTGTTATTTTGTTGGTTTTTTTTTCTTTCTCTGTGATTATCTCATAGACCCCTTTTTGAAATCCATGCTTTACAGGCTGCTACCAGTCCATAACCTACAAGACAAGCTGTGGAATTCTTAACACTGTACTGCTGTTGTTCTTAATCTCTGAGGACTTTTCTGTATTCTCTCTCATCAAATTCTTGATCATAAAAGTAAATAATCTTAGCCAAGCACTTTTTGTCTCTGCTTTTCTACTGTGTTTTGTGGGATTTTGCTGGTGTGAACGGGCACAGTCTCTAATTGAAAGAGATGCACAACTCTGCACTCAGAGAAAGGCAAACATGTAAAAAGCTGCCATCAAATAGTATATACTGTCTAAAGTCTGAGTTGTGTCTAAAAAATCTGTTGTTCCACAGCTGTTTTCCTGATTATTCTCTCCAATGTTCAAACATCTATTGTTAGTTGGAAAGTAGCATAAGAACTACGTCAAGTTCTAAAAAATGGTTTCAGGGTAGATATTAGGAAGAATTTCTTCTCAGAAAGAGGGGTTCAAGCCTTGGAACAATCTGCCCAGGGGAGTGGCAGAGCGACTGACCCTGGAGGTGTTTAAGGAAAGGGGAGATGTACTAAGGAACATGGCTTCATGGGTGTTACAGTTGGAAAGATTAGTGTGGTGGAAAGGTGTTACAAGAGTGTAATGGCAAAAGGGACAAACAGTGGCAGTCAGCCCTTAAATGAGGTCTAAGAGGAGAGGTACAGCCAGGCTCCACTCCTTCTGGTCATACAGTTGAATTGCCTGCACCTGTGTTCTCAGGGCTGACTGAATCCATTCCCCCCCAGGTGCTCAATCAGTGGTTCATGCTATGACACAACAGTTCCCATACAATGGGCCATATTGGTGATAGGTGGATGATTGGACTAGATGTTCTTAGAAGTCTTTTCCGACCTCAGTGGTTCTATGAAAATACTTTTAAGTAGGTTTGGCTACTTACAGCAGTGTCCTACCATGCAGGTTTTCATTTCTAAGAAGAGGGATCGGGCTTTTTTTCAAGTAACTCTGTAGGTGTCTTTGACAGCTGTTTCTGAGGGTCTGTTCCATCTGCAGGCTTCAATATGTCTCTGATAGGTGTGCAGGTGGGGTAACTGCCCCAGGGCCATGAAATGCGGAGGTAGAAGAGAGCAAAGGAAAATATGTTCTCCGACATAAAAATAGAAACTGAAAACTTCTGAGGGCCTTGGGAATCTGTATCTTGTTTTGGTACTTCTAAGGAGACTGACTGAACTTAGAACTTTAGTTTCTCTGTGCAAGTGATGAATATGGATCTGTTCCTTATAATGCTACTGCATCTCAGCTCAGCTCCAGGCCTCTTCTGTGCTAGCTTTTCTGTTCTTTAATATGTCCTGCTATGACAATTGGTCTCTATGGATATCTCCCCCAACCTTCCCCAACACAAAATTTTCTTCAGGTTATTTTCCGTACTTGTAAAATGTGGGAGCTGGAATGGAGAAATTCAGTTTGCAGTAGGTGTACAATGGCAAAGTCTGGGACAGAGCTGTTATCTGAAAGAGAAAGAATCTCTGGTGAAGAAAACCGGGCAAAAATGAAAAATAGAAACTATATTCACTGTGTTTAACATCAGTTGTACTGCAGCTGCAATTATACTCATGAGTAAACTAAAGCACTTGGGACTTTAAATTACAAATGCATAATTAGGTCATTCTTGTTAGTGGGTCTCACTGTAATATTATGCTTATTAATACTCCCAGGCGTCATTACAGCACCAGTTTATTGAAAAGAGCTTGCTCTCTAGAAACTTAACTATATTACAGTTCAGTGTAAATCTTTATTCCAAGATGTATGTCTTCTATACAGAGACAATTGAGGTGAATTTCTTAACAAAACAAGTAGAAGCAAAGAGTATTTTTTCCGCTGAAACAAAATTACTTTTGATCTCCCTGTCCATTCACACCAAAATGTATATCTGTGCATCCCTGTGTTTACTCTTAATGGATCATTTATGGAACACAATGAATAGAAAGTACTTAAATGATAAATACTTCTGAGCTACACCCAAAAGCTGCTTTAAAATAGACATCAGAGCTTCAAAGACCTACCACATCTTTTTTTTTTTTTTTTAAAAAAAGCCTTATTTCCACCTCCAGGAAAGAAGTAAAATAGGAGTGCAAGGTAAGGAGGTTCTTGAAGCCAGTGACAAGGCAGCAGTTGATTTGACCTTAACTCAGGCTTCAACTACGCATTTACACCTGTATGGTGAGAGTGGATGTGATTCAATACATTCCAGCATCTCCTCCATCTGACTTTTTGCTGTTTACCTTTCAAAGAACATAGAGAAAAATGATAATCTATTCTAATGTACCTTTGTTTGAAGGAAGAGCTTCAGAAAAGTGATCTGCTAGATAGACAAACTTTAGTAGTACTGAGTTTTATTTCAATTTACAGCATAAACTTTTGGTCTTCTAACTCGTATCAGTGCATGAAACACTGCTTTGCCTGTAGCAAAGCTCTCAAATAGCCATGCTTACCGAGAACAGATACAATCTCGGTGTTCTTTGCTATAAATGCATTGTTTTATTTATTGTGTAATTCTGCTAAACATTTCACATTGTAAAAGATTTAGAACACCTTAAAAGATCTTGTTGTAAAGATCTTATTCTTTGGATGATAGACAGGCAGAGCTGGTTTACTTTCCTGTCATGTGTATAATTTCCTATTTCTCTCTTAGGCTTTTACCTATTCAACACAATAGACCCTGCTTTTGAAGGCTGAATTTTTACTTTAAAGGTCTGTACAAACTGAACTATAAATTATCTAAAGCACTGTGCATACAATTTCAAAGCACTGTTGGCAGCTATTCTGCAGTAAGCTAAGAAGGTCAAAGATGTTAAAAATTTATCTCAAACTCTTCTGAAATTTGTATCCCTTGTCTGCAGTAATTTCATCTCTTTAACTGTATAGCTTCTTACTTTAAAAATGCTTCATTATTTTCTTTGTGTATACCAAAGAAATGTTTTGTTGTATTAAACAGAGAAAGCTATTATACAGCACAACTACAGTGATTAGTATGAGAAACTTCTATATCCAATGAGAAAAAAATTGTATTTGTCATCCTACTTCAATGTTCTAGTTATCTACCTGTCTGTCACTATATCTGCTTTTCCATCTACCTGAGTTTCAGCTTGGACAAAAATTTTAATTCCTTCAAAAATGGAATATACAACTTCTTTGGAGAACTATAAAATGACTGATTTTTAACAAAAATATTTATATACATGGATTTTTGGGAAATGTATTTTTGTCCACATGATTCCCTGAAGTCATTGTGAACTGGTGAATAATTTGGATACATCATAAGCTTCAGTATATATAAATTAGCGTATATATAGCAAGAACTCAATCTCAAACCAGAATAAAACTACTAAACTCAGCTCTAATGACAAGAAGAAAATAATATAAATATAAATATATATATATATATATAAAATTTCACTTTCATTATCAGCTTCTTTGATGACTTAAAATCCACACTGCATATTGCCCCATTAATTTGGTATTACGTACCTTAACATACCTTTTTTCTCAGGTTGGCTATAGAAAACCAATAAAGCAAACATGTAATTTACATGCTAAGAGCATTCTAGATCAGCCATCCACAGAGCAATCTCCATTCATCAGAGACATCTCTGTACTTCATTAATTTTAAGTTAAGGCATATGCATCTCTGTAGGGAAAAAGGAAAGTGAGACAGAGCCAAGAAAAGGGAAAGAGAAAAATGTTGCAATAGAATTTTAACACATCAAAGCTTGCAGGAAAAAGTCACCTTGCTTTAGAATATCTAGGGTTTTTTTATTCTTTTCCTTGCTCTAAAATTAGACACATACATTTCAAAGGAGCCATCTGGGCAATCCTAAGGAAAGCAAGAGAGACCAGACCTGACATTCTCAGAAGCTCAGTCAACCTGAGGGGTGAAAAAGAAAAGAAAAAAAGAAATCTTTTTTTCTTCTCTTTCTGATTTGAGGAATTAAAGAAAGCCAAACGAGACAAGAGAAACTCCTATTGTGAAGCATAATAGAGAATGTCATTGCAGCTTTTCCTTACATGATTCAAGGAGCTTATTCTGCCAGCATGTATCTGAACATGTTTTATAATAGGGCAGGAAACGAATGGTTAAATGCTTAATATAAGGACAGGCTACCTCCATTCGGGGGGGATTAAAAAAAAAAAAAAAAAAGCTTAAACTTTCTTATGCTGCTGGTTTGTCTATTAAGTGTGTGTGATCCCCAGAAGAGGAATTTTGGAGCCCGATGCTGATTTTATTTTACACAAATACTTCTTCCCACACAAATACCAGAATGGGATAACCATAGCTATGCAGAAGATGAAGAAACAGGCAAATTCTTCTAGTTATTCCTGACATGGTGACAGATCTTAGGTTGTTTTTATACTAAGGCATTTTTTTAGACATTTAAACACAAAGCTTTTATTTTTTTTTTTCATATTTGTGCTTGCCACTCATTTACATTGAAGAGAAACTTTCTGTGATAAGCACCATTAATTTCATTGAGCAACTGTAGAGTGAGTCAGCACTAACTGAGTCAAAGAAGAACTAAGCCCTCTACTAGAAAGAAACTAAGGAGTTGAATGGAGCGTGA